AATAAACTGACTAAGAGATATATTGGCTTTGGGGACAGTTCAGCAGAGATTCATAAAGCTGTTTACAGGCATGAGGACTTTGACTTGTTAAGAACAGCTAAACTGTTTAGACTTTATTTCGTTAAGTGTTTAGAAGAAAGAGAGTTGATCTTATTGAAACATACAAAATTCTGCAGGTCCTTGACAGGATAGATACTGAGAAGGAGTTTCCATTAGTTGGAGAATTTCTAATTATGGGACATCATGACAGAATAAGAGGTACTCATTTAATACTGAGGTGTGAGGGAATTTCTTCTTCCAGAGGGTAGTGAGCATTTAGAATTCTCAACCCAGAAAGATGTATAGGCTAGATCACTGAAAATATTTAAAGAGTATGAGGGTAGAATTTTGAAATAGTGCGGAATTAGGGGCTATGAAGAGATGGTTTGAAAGAGAAGTTGAGTCTGGGGCAGATCAGCCATGATCTTGTTGAATGGTGGGCCTGGATGGAGGGGTTGAATGGCCTACTTATCCTATTTCTTATGTTCTTCTCTTCTAAACTTGAGGTTGGGTTTAAAGAATACCATCTAGCCACTGGCAAAACTATTGCTTGTTCTATGACTGTGACACACTTAATAAATAAATAACCATAGATTATTACTTGCAGTTACTTCTATCCATGCTCCTGCAGTTGTTATTGGTGGCCCCTTTAGATCCAACCCTAACCTGCTCTTATTTATAAATCACATTGCCCCTCACAGTGTCAGTCTCCAGACACAACAGCCAGTTCTACCTCCCCATCACCTTTCCCAACCCTTCCACTATTGCAAATAATCAGATTGCTTCTCCAACATCCAGCTCAGCCTAAGCACCAATTCATTACTGGGAAGTCCAAAGCCACTGGTTTCAGTCCTGATTATGAATTCTATTCCCTTAATACAAAAACCATCCTTCCCTCTCCCTGGCAATGACGGAGACTGAAGTCTCTGCCTCCAAATTTGGGATCAAATTTCATCCCAAGATGTGCTCCTGATCTTGTATCCACGCGATCACCAAGATTGCCTATTTCCACCTCCATTATACTATCCGACTTCAACCTTTGCTCAGCTCATCTGCTGCAGGAACCATCATTCACTTTGTTGTGAGTTCTAGGCTTGACTATACCAGTATGCTACGGACTGCTGACTACAGCTTAACTCGCAATGAGCTGCATTGCCTTATCATCCTTGCACATGCGGATTTAAGTTGACTCATGCCAGACATAGCGTTGATTCTAAAATTTTCACACTTGTTTTCAAATTCCTTCATGGAATTTCCACCTCTCTCTGTCTTTGTAATCTCCTCAAGCCCACAACTCTCCAAGATCCCTGTGCTCCTCTAGTTCTGACCTGTTGAGCATTGTCAATTTTATATGTTCCACCATTGGTGGCCATGTCTTTGGTTGCCTGAACTCTAATGTCTGTACGTTCCTCCATTGACTTCCCCACCTCTCTAGCTTCCTTCCTTCCTAGAAGACACTCCTAGAATCTCCAGATCACCACTTCTTTATCATGTGGTGTGATGCCACATGATCAGTTTAGGGTCATGACATGTTGGTCAAGGATAACGCAAGTTCAAGAACTACTTTCAGGCTTCAATTTCAAAGTAACACTATTTATCATACATTAATATTAAATTCTGCTGTAAATGGTTGAACCAGGCACTGACTATTAGTTACTTTTGATACAAACTATTTATACTTTTCTTGAGTTCATGTCCATGTGGTCATAAGACTCTATCTTTCATTTCAGAGAGTTGTGGTCTTCTTTCAGGGTGTGCACCATGTTCTAACTCTGCCCACACTGTGATATTTGTACTCAGTAATGTGCAACTGCATGTCATCATTGCAAAGTTGCTGTAGCAACTGCACAGAGGCCTGGATCCATCACCAAGTACCCCTTTATTTACACCTGGAGAGTCCTTGACACTGACCCAGCTCCCTCAGAGCCAACTCTCGGAGAGAACAGAACCTTTGACACTCCTGTTTATGTCTGTCAGCCAGGACTCCCTGATTGGACCAGATTAACAGCCCCAATCAAGGAACTCATATTCTATGAGGTCCACCTGGCTGACCTTGTTACAATCACTGCAGTTGCTCCAGAGTGCTAATGCTATTACGCAACAAGTGCCAACTTCTCAAGGGCAATTAGGCGGCCAACAATTTTGCCGCTGCCAAAGATGCCCAACCCCATTTAAAAAGTCTAAGCTTTTGGTTTTCTGACCTCATTATTCCTCATGTTGCTCTGTGTAATACTTTGACTTACAATGCCCTTGTGAAGCATCTTGGGTCCATTCCATTATTTTAAAGATGCTAATTTGTTGTTGTGCAGTTCAGGAGTGACTACACAGTGTATCCACTATCTAAACCAGGCTGAAGCATTTTAACAATCCCTGCAATTTTGTTTCCTTCACCTTTTCCCTGTTCTCTCTTTAACTGCAGCAGAACTCGAAGGGCGCCCCTTGTACATCACTTCATTATTGTTGTAATTTAGAATAAAACCAACCTTGCAGCTCTGGGACTTATTAACAGCCACTCACTGTACTTGAGCTAAAAAATGAGCGATCATGGGATTAAGGCTTCCAATGACTGCAAACAATGAAGTTGCTGTACTTGCCTTTTTTTTGCTCTTCTCAAGTTTAAAAGCCCAGTAGATGTTATCCCCAGGCTATTTGGATGATTTTTTTAAGAGAAAGCAATATATATGTAGACATATTTGAGAGGAAAACCTCCATCAATTTTGTCCCATCCATCAAAATGACAGGCCTATCCATTTTCATTTCATGATGAATCTAATCTCTTGCTGGCAAAGCCTACAGGTCAGAATGGTGAGAAATTTGTGCACTCTTGTAGGAGTAATTAAGTACACGCAGCCAGAAAAAAAATGATGGTAAAGCTACTGTATTAGGACACAGTAAATCCAATATAATCCTGCTAGCTCTGATCTGTGGGCATGGCTTTGTGTTCCGACATGCTATAAAGATGGAGATTATCATTACAGAGCATCTTGTGATTTGAGTTTTAGAAACACATCCTTTTGTGGCCTTAACACATATCGTATTCAGAGAGTGAATGACAACCACAGAAAACCCTGCCATTCCAACCTGCAGCATGCTACAGTTGGCCTTAGAGCAAACTCTCCCCCACCCCACGCCCCCCCCACCCAGAAAATGTCCCTTGCTCCAGGGTCCTGTTTAGAGTGGCCTGAAGAAACCGCACCATGGGATTTCAGATCCAATGCACTGAACTACCTGGGCAGGGTAGAGGGGTGCGCATACTTTCAAAATGATGTTCTGCCCGCCACTGGTTTATAGACTAAATACACCAATAATGACAAGAATGACTTACATTTAGGTAGTGCCAATAACATAAATGAAACATCCCAGGATTATGACAAGACAAAGAACACTGAGCCAATAAAGAGACATCAGGTCAGATGACCAAAATAATGGGCAAAGTGGTCTGATTTAAATCGTCTCTACAAGGAAGAAAGCCAGTTAGAGAGATGGAGCGATTTAAGGAGTGATTTTGGAGATTAGCACCCATGCACAACTCAAGGTGTTCCCACCAAAGATAGAGTAACTAAAATTCAGGCTGTGGAGGCCAGAATTATAGGCATGCAGATATCATGGAGGGTCATTAGGCTGGAGTGGATTTGGGATTGGTGAAAGGTCATCTGAAAACAATTAAGAGTAAAGAGTTTCCAATCAAACATTACCCTAACAGAACTAAGTGTCAGTCAGTGAGCGCAGGGGTGATAGGGCAATGAGACCACGTGATATTGGATCCTGCAGACTAGCTCAAGAGTTGAAAAAAAGAACAAAACTGTTCTTTGTGGTTATACTTATTCAGACATGACCTTTATTTGCATAGAGCCCATAATCTTAAACTTGACAGGATTGGGAGTTCATGGATGGTTTTCCAGGCTGAAGCAGTAATAGGATTCCATCATAGTTTGAAACACTAAAACTCCTTGTAGCTTTATTTGTTCAATGTGAAGTTTTAAGTATTTACTGAGCTGTGCATGATAGTAAAACTGCTGTTTCTCTCATTACTTGTACAAGCCAACAGCGAGATTGACACTCACAGTGCCTGATTTTAATTCTGTGCAAGCGACTGGGCTTTGAATGAGTTAAAATGTCCCATTGAATGTCACTACACACTGTGCATCATTCTAACAGCAATGATAACCCGTTTAAAGTGTCCATGTGCCTCCAACAAAATATAGACAAAGGGATCTCACATGAGTACTGTACAGGTTAGAGTCCCCTAACAGTGATCCTCATAGGCAATCGTTTCTCTAAAGTTTAAGATTTGATGTTAGGTTTACAGTACAGAATAAAGTGGGGCAAATGAAGGTGTGACATAGATTCCTGATGCTAATAGATTGCAGAGAAGGCAGGCATGCATGGGGTGATCTATTTCAATATTTCTCAAGCTATTGAGTAATTCATTTATCAACTTCTGTCATCGGACACATTGGAATTCAATTGCCCGGGGTCAGTGCACTGCTAAGAGGCTTTAATCTCCATTTGCCAGTTGCATACAATTTAAAGAGGCACCAACTTCAAATCTTTCATGTTTAACTAATTGCATGGAAGGACAGAACTTAAACAAAGATAAAAGGAGACAAGAAATTAAAGCTTTGTGTTTTTCACTCATCTGGATTTAGAAAAGGGACACCAATTTATACAGCAGAAAAGGGAGCCGATTGGTTGGGCCATCATTGACATAGAGGTGGAACGACTTCAATTTACCAAGAGGTAGCCTCAGAGCTGAAGTCTGAAAACAGGATAAAATGGCTATCTTCTGAGAGAAGGAACCCACTAACATTGGTCGGAGTTTGTTTCCTGCTCAGAATTTTAGAGATCTTTGTTATTCAAGTTTTGTGGAGTATTGCCAAACTATTTGGCAGATGTTGACTGCAAGCCAATACTAATATGTCCTCAGATGCCTGGACATAGTTTTCTGCTCAAACATTTACCGAACGGCATGGTTCCTTCTTTTAACTAAGGAAGACCACTCAAGGACCAAAGCCCACAGTACAAGACCCTATTAAGACTGATAGGTTTGGGAAATTGAGGTAACTCAACAAGCAAGGATTGAGTCTTAAATAAAAACCGATTGAGTCTTACCACTCTTGAAAAGTCTATTGAGAAGGGAAAGGTGAAATGAAATAGGGTGTTCCACTCTTTTCAAGTAGAGAAACAAAACAGAATGAAGGTTGAAAATAGATCAACAGTTATTTGAGTTCAGTACACAAGGATGCAGTCAGAAGGAATAAATAGGGCTGTGCATTGGAAGTGTTGAAGACAAAAAAGAACTAACCTTCAGAGTAGCAGTGACCATTGAATGAGCAATAAAACTGAGAGACAGAAAAGCTTGTAATGGTAGGATAGTTTCAAAGCAAACTGTAGAGGAAGGTTCACTAAACTACAAGCTTTATATATATTTTGTGTAGGAAATAAGACATGTATTTGAAGGGTCAGTTCAGGTACACAGGTAAAAGTAAAAGTTGACGTGGGAAATGTCAATCTGGCAGAAAAGAGGAAATTGAGCTGATTGGCTACAACTTTAGCAAAGAAAAGGGTGTGGGATTCCTCATTTGAAGAGAAGTTTGCATGGTCAGGAACATCAAAAGATGAAAGACCAAAGGTGTGACCCTCAGGTCATGACTGCTGGGAAAAAAGTGTCCATAACACGATACTTTCAAACTGTCACACTGTGTATACTGACCTCCAAGAGAATGTGTAGTCACAGTGAAAGAATAATAAAAACTTAACAACCCTTAAAAATGAAAACAAAGTAATGAAATGATGTATAGCTGAAGAGAGAAAGACAGTTAAGTAAAAAAACTTTTCTTTTTAACTTTTTAAAATTGGCCAAAAAAATCAGAGGCGAGCCTGTATAGTCAGAATTTACCATCTAATGACGGCAGACACTCTCAAACTAGTTTGAGAATTATCCAGGTAGAAGTCCTGAAGAATAATGAGGGATGAATTTGCAATAGATGAGGTATAAAGCAAGCCTGATCATTAGAGATGTTCAGGAGGATAATAAATAGTGCAATGACATGCTTGTTGACAAAAAGTTGTGGGTTTTCCTTGCAGCTTGTAATTTCAATTCACAAAACCAAAAACTAGTCAACTTCCTTGATGTTTCTAAGGCCTTGCAGCAGACAAAATGACGTCCATATTTTCCTTCAGTCACTGCACTTCAAACCAGTTCTGTGTTGAATGACCTTGCAATAAGATGTTCTCTAAGTCTCTAATTCATTCTCAGTTTTTCTTTCTCATTTCTTTCAACTTCACCTGATATCCAACTACCGCAGCCAAAGCTGTTTTTGTACAGATCTGGTGGCTGACCGTGTAATCTTATTTATAAGCTCTTGCAATATTTATGTCACAAAGAGACACGCTAAGGAAGCAGTGAGTAATTCCTCTTGCGGCCAATAAAAGGAAATAAATACAATTCTGTAGCTCTGTAATTGTTCCTTTGTGAATTGAATCCATCCTACCAGCTCTGGACAAGTCAAAGGTTGACAGCACTTTGTGTTCTTTCCAATCTTGTGTTTATAATGTGACAGACCTTTACTAGACTTTGAATCCATGCAGTAAGAATCTGAATTAAGTACTTGTTTTTGTATTGCACCTTGTGCAACAATCTTCACTTGTCTTATCAGTTATGGATGGCTGGTTTGCGAAGCAGAGAGACACCAGCAGTGTGGGTTAAATTTCAACTCTGGATGGGGTCACCATGAAGGACTCTCCTCAACCTCACCCATCGCCTGAGGTGTGATGACCTTCGCGTTAAACCAGCACCAGTTGTTTCTGTCTGATGAGAAAGCAATCCTCTAGGACTATGGCAATGTTACCTTTTATTTTGTGTCAGTACAGCAGATATAACTGAGGTAGAGAGTGCTGGAAAAAGCTCAGCAGGTTTGGCAGCATCTGTGAAGAGAAATCAGAGTTAACGTTTTGGGTCCAGTGACCCTTCCTCTAAGGAGGAAGCTGAGCTTTTCCAGCAACTTCTGTTTTTGTTTCTGACTTATAGCATCTGCAGTTCTTTCAGTTTTTATTGAGGTAGAGATTGGTTTGTGTGGCTCTCACTTCTGGGCAAGACATGGGTACATCGCCTACCAACTTAGTAAAATGAGTTGGCTTTTGCCCAATCTGTGCAGGCATTGGTCACACTGCCAAATTTTTGTTGGGTTTATTCTTTGTACTGGCTGGATGCCTAAAACAGGAGTGAAACATTATAGATTTACAGGCTAATGCTTATTTGAGGATGCTACTCTGAAAGGCAGGCTGCAACCACTACAAGGAATAATGTCTATGTGTGCAGAGAGCAGCCGTAAACAATGCCAGATCCAGCTTAGATAACCTCGAGCAACTCAGACACAGACTGGCCAGGCGAGTACACGATGAATAATTATTGAAGACAGTATGAAACCAGCGTGTCAATCTCATAGCCCAACATGATTCATTACCTTCAGGGGAAAAATGTAAGGAGAGAAAATCAGAAGAGAAACTGCGGGAGAAAAAGAACATTTAGTAAATCAGAGTCTAACATTGCCATGTAAACAGTATGATGCTATCTTTGTAATGATGAGCCTAAATATTCTGTTATACTTTCTGTTGAAAAACTTCCTTCAGTGTCAAGAAGAACATAATAGCATCAGACCTGCCACCTAATGTTGTCTCAACCCATCAAAAGTGAGTAATCAGCTGTGGAATTATAACCTTGTTTATTAACAAGACTGTCTTCTGGTGCTTTGATCCCAGAAGAGACATGACCCTAGCACCAATTAGTGTGGGTCAGCTGGTCTCTCAAGGGCTCTAATCTATGAGAACAAGATACACAAGAAAATTGTTCTCTTTCTACCCTAGACACACAGTGAATTCGCTAAGACTCCTTTGACAACATCTTCTACACAGGTAGACCTCTACCGCCTAGACAAATAAAAGCATAATGGGAAAAACACCAACAGCAAACTCACATCCTAACCTGGGACTAGATCACCGCTCCTTCACTACTGTTGAGCCAAAATCCTGAAACATCCTCCCTAACAACGCTGTAGATATCCCTACACTGCATTGCCTGCAGCAGGTAAAAAAGATGGCTCACCACCACCTTCTCAAGGACATGATGTGGAGGTGCCGGTGTTTGACTGGGGTGGACAAAGTCCGAAGTCATATGACATCAGGTTGTAGTCCAACAGGTTTATATGAAATCACAGGCTCAAGATGAGCTTCACCTGATGAAGGAGCAGTGCTCCGAAAGCTTGTGATTTCAAATAAACTTGTTGGACTATAACCTGGTGTCATGTGACTTTTGACTCTCTCAAGGACAATTAGGGATGGATAAGAAATTCAGGCTCATACATTCCTTGAACAAATTTTTAAAAATAGACCATTCTATACCCTCCCTCCGTTTAAATATCTTTCTTGCTTTTTTGGGATTGACTTGTGCTGATGGATACTTCTCAGCCTCCCTGTTGTACTCTAATACCTTGTAAAAGTCACCAATCTTCGAGGGTGAGATTAGACGTCGGGCATTGCGAGGGTATTTCACAGGAAGCGTAGAGCACAACCCTGTATTCATTGTTTCCATATACAATTACAACAGCTGACTTGATAACAACTAAAAGTGGGAACTCTGGCTAATCTGGATGATCTGAAAGCTGGCTAGTCTGATTGACATGCTCACTGAGATGCTGAAAACCAGATAAAGATAGAAAGAACTTGCATGACTATAGCAATTTGCATCACCACACTGTCTGCCTAAAAGCTTGATCGCAGTTAAGTATATTTGCAGTACAGTCACTGCTGCAAAGATGAGAATCCTTGAGGTAAATTATTGCACAGATAGACACCACAAACTTCAAAGGGGCTGAGATCCAGATAACTCCGTTTTCATCATTTTTCATTTTTTTCTTTTATGAGATGCAGGCATCACTGGTAAGGCCGACATTTGTTGTCCATTCTTAATTCTCCCTTACATGAGTGGCTTGCGAGGCCATTCCAAAGGGCATTTAAGTGTCAAGCATATTACTGTGAGTTTGGAGTCACATGTGGTCCAGATCATGGAAGGATGGCAAATTTCTTTCTCTGAAGGATATTAGAGGACCCGATGGGTGTTATTAGAGTAATAATATTAGTTGAAGGATAAATATTGGCCGGGATATGTACGACAGTGCCTCTGCTCTCGAAGACTGCCATAGGATCATTTAATTCTGTCTCAGAGGAGTAGTGCTTTATCACACAAGCCCAAAGTTGATCCCACTGACGAAAGCAGTGCTCAAACAATAATACAGTGAAATGTCAACCGAGATTACCCGTCTAGTTACAGTCATTAAGTCATAGAGCTGTCCGACATGGAAACAAACCCTTTGGCCCAACTCGTCCATGCCGACCAGCTATCCTAAATTAGTCTAGTATTTATCAGCATCTGGCCCATGTCCCTCTAAACCCTTCCCATTCATGTGCCCATCCAGAGATAGTAGGAACTGCCGATGCTGGAGAATCTGAGATAACAAGGTGTAGAGCTGGATGAACACAGCAGGCCAAGCAGCATCAGAGGAGCAGCCTTCCTGCTCCTCTGATGTTGCTTGGCCTGCTGTGTTCATC